GGTGGCGGCCCGGCCGATCCGTTGCGAGGAGCCGCGGCGTTGCGCGGTGTAACGGGCCGGGGAGCCCGCAGGACGCGCCGCGCCCTCGGTAAGCGGTCAGGCCGCTGCGGCCCCACGGCGCTCGGTGCAGGGAACGGGCGGAAAACGCCCTTTTAACGCGTCTCGTCCGCGGGAATCGTTCCGAACGGGAAACGAAACTCGGTGTCGTTCCAATTCACCAGGTGGAAAAAAAGTTATGCGGGATGTGTAGGAGGGAAACGTCAAGTACATCCTGTATTTAAAAACTTCGAAATCCTGACGTTCCAGTAGTTACCAGCTGGAAGCAGAAAGACTTCTGGTTATCCCGGCCCTAGAACATACCTTGGCATTGCAAACCAGTTGTATGGATTAGAAAAGAAAATAATGAAAAGAAAATCATTAATTTTCTGCCCTGAGATTCCTAAACCATTCTTGGTGACCGGACTAGATACTGAGCTGATGTGGAGAAATTATTTCTTTATAAATTTTTTCGATAGCTGACCTGACAGACCTGGTTCAATAGGTCAACTACGCCCATTCCATGTTTTTTTTTTTTCCCCTCTCTCACAGTGGTTTGAATTTCCTCAAAATTTCAGTGGCCGGACCTGTTCTAAATATAGTTGGTTCTGTATTTCAATATTTTGGTCAGGCCTTGTGGTAGATGGATGTCTTTCAAATTACTTCTAGGATATTTTTATGGAGAAAAATGCTTATGTGACTTTGTCTTGTGTATTTAAAAATCTGTTTTCGTAAGAAATTACTTTTACTAGTAATGCTGAGTCTTGCCAAAAGGCTAGGTCAGAATTCCTTCTGCAGCTGGGACACTTGTTTTGTTTGTGTCCCTGTATCCTCCAATGTGTTTGGCCATCAGCTTTTGTGAAGCTTTGGAACATTTGTCTATTCATAGAATCCCGGAACGGTTTGGGTTGGGATGGACCTCAAAGATCATCCAGTTCCAACCTCCCTGACATGGGCAGGGACACCCTTCACTACACCAGGTTGCTCAAAGCCCCATCCAACCTGGCCTTGAACACTTCCAGGGATGGGGCAGCCACAGCTTCTCTGGGCAACCTGTGCCACTGCCTCACCACCCTCAGATCCCCTCTTTCAGTTTAAAGCCACCATCAAAATCTCCCCTCTTTCAGTTTAAAGCCATTGCCCCATGTCCTGTCACTACACACCCTTGTCCAAAGTCCCTCTCCAGCTTTCTTGTAGCCCCTTCAGGTACTGGAAGGTGCTGGAAGATCTCCCCAGAGCCTTCTCTTCTCCAGGCTGAACAGCCCCAACCCTCTCAGCCTGTCCTCTTCTGCTGTGCATTTCTAAATCTACCTGAAATTCAACTGAAGGTTCAAAAACTACTGGTAGGAACAAGTCTGCACAGAGATGTGTACACCGTACTGTTGCATAAACATTTTACTTTTGTTAAAAACTAGTCCCGAGGTTTCTCAACAAGTTTGTCTTCAAGCCCATCTGTTTGCCTTCTACAGGTTTGAGAGCGCTTCAGCATCTCCCTGGGGTGCTTGCTTCTTTCTCCAGTTGGCTCCAGGAAGCACCATGAGGTTTCTAAGCCGTTTTACCGTATCTTTTGATGCCTGCGAAGAAGAAATGTAGCCACCAGGCCAGGAAGGCAGAGCTGGTGTTCCTTGAGAGGCCACGAGAGGGACCCGTCCATTGCTACGAAGCTCCCCTGTCTTCCGCCGCGAATCCAAGGCGTGTTCCTGCAAAACCTGTGGACCAGAACACCTCTGCTGCCTGGGTTGGTATGGCTTCTCCTCCTCCCTGCTTCCCACAGCAAGGCTTTCCAGGTTTTCCCCGTGTGTCTCAACAGAAAGCTGTCTGTCCTGGACACCCGAAATTGGTAGCGCAGACCTGAATTCCCTGGAGCTGCTAAAGCATCAAGTGCTCTTGAGTTGCCAACTCCAGCCACGAAGGTCTTGGCTATTTGAGGGCGTAAAACTGCGCAGTGTGTACTGATTCTTTGTCTTCTGAAAAAGTAATTCCCATCAGGAAAAGGCTCTTTTCTATCGCAGCTGAAAACCCTGCACGAAATAAACATAGAATCACAGAATCATAGAATGGTTTGGGTTGGAAGGGACCTCAAAGCTCATCCAGTTCCAACCACCCAGCCATGGGCAGGGACACCCTCCACTACACGAGGTGGAATATTTTTACTGGCTTGCTGCTGGAAATCATTGCTGCACTCTGTTCCACGTTAAAGCATGAGGTGTTTTGTTTAAATCTGACACTGCTAAATGTAGAGAACACAGGCTTTCACTGCGGGGCTTTTTGTTTTAACCTGCCCTCTTTTCCAGTCTGCGTATTTTGAACATTTTCTCTCGGGATCATTCTTCTGATGAGCTCCTTTTCTGGTCTGAAAAAATATTCCAGGGACTGTTTGCAGTGTCCTAAGATACTCCTTATATCATGTCAAGAATGTTTTTTAAGCAGACAGGTGCTGCAAAGACAGACTGTTCCTACAGAACAATAGTCCTCACCTCGGGGAGCTCTGCTCGAGCCTCATTGCTGCTGAACTCTGCTATCCACAAAGCTTGGGAAGCGTGGTTCAAAGCTGCAGGAAGCACTCATTCCTTTGTTCTTGTGGCCTGGAGTTATTTTTGTGATGCCTTTACTCTGAAGTGGAACATGTCCAGTTTTTCCCTCTTTTAATCGTTTTCATACAATTAAGGCAGTTAGCTCTGTGGCTTCTGAAGCACTAAGTAAAACAACTGCTGGGAATAAGCATTCCTTTTGTTTGGAAGAGGTGGAAACATCTATGCTGGTACTTAGCTCTTTGATTTCAAACACACAGTAATTCCAAAATGTGTTTGAAACCGTCAGCACTGAAACTGTTAGATATTTTTCCGTTTGAAACTCCTGGTAGGGTTGTAACTTTTTGAAGCATCCTCTGCAGAGTTTCTGTCAACTTTTTTGGTGGCAACGGATTTTCCGCTCCTCTCTTCTTGATGTTGTCTAAGTTTTTTTTTTTTCATATTCTTTTGACTGCTAAGCTCCTGCACTGGTAAAGCCTACCCTACGTGTTCTCTGAAGCCAGGAATTCATATCCTCAAAGTCAGTGGTTCGCCTACGTTCTTTTATGTACCAGGATACAATTATCAGGGAATCATTTTTCTCTTTTCCTGCACAAAGGCTTTACATTCAAACAGTTCCGTTGCGCAGGAGACAATCTTTAATTAAATTGCACTTAGTGGTTTGAGAGACTGTGTGGTAACTCAGGAATGCTGAAAGGGACCTGTAGTTTTCGTAGCTAGAACCCAGTTTGCCGCGCTCCAGGGAAAAGCAAATTGCAAGGAATGAAACCTGACTCTTTTTGTTGATATCCAGGAATAAAGAATACTGTCAGAGAAGGATTTCAATGTCTTGAGTACGAGTCCAGAGTCTTTCAAAGAAATACAGATCGTTGAGCTTTGACCATCTTCTATAGAAAGCAAATTTTAGAAGTGGCTTTTGGATGATCTGTTACTCCGGAATACAGAGATTAACTCTGTTTTGAAGTAAATATCTTGGGGGAGAATATTCCAAAGGCCTTATTAACGTAATCTAAGGTGACGGAGCTGAGTTAACACCCTTTAAATCATTTTGGTTTGCTCTCAGTTCAACTCATTCGGGGAGCCTGAGGATGTAGTTCATTGAATCTATTCGGAGTTACGCTAAGACACAGAAAGAAAGAGGATCCAGCTCCGAACTGGTGTAAGAGGTTACAGGAGAAGACACCAGCCAGGCTTTTCCTTAAAACTCAAATCTTGGGTGCTTTTCGAGTTGCCAGAGAACAGCTCACTTGCCCCAATCGCTTTTCAGAGAAGAGCGGCAGAACATGATGTCCAGGTTCAGAAGTATCTCCTGCTTAGCAGCGTGGTTAGTGACTGACTTGCGTTGCTGCAGACCAGATTACCCACTTAATGAACGCACTGGAAAAAGACAGGATAGGTATAGATAGAATACAGGAGTAGAATCAGGCTGGCATTCTTTTGTCTGGGAAAATTGTTGATTTTTTTTTAATTCTGATGTCTTTCCCTTCAGGTACGCCCACAATTTGAAACAACGAAGTCAGTGGTGTTGACAGCACGCCAGAAGAAGCACTATGGTCCTCACAAGAATCAGGCCCCCAGCCACAGCTTGCTTCAGGGAGCAGCTTGTCGAAGAGCTACAGCCTGCAAGTTTCCCCCTTTAACTTTTGAGCATCCGGAAGGACGTGCAGTCCAACCCTCGGATCGCCCACGCTGCTCAAGGAAGAACACGCCGCGCTCTCCCAGCCAGCCCAAGAAAGGGGCAGCAGCAGAAGGCGGCACCCAGGTGAACAGCCCAGAGTACTGTGCAGAAACACCTTCGCCACCTGCTCCTCCACCTGTGGAGCCAGAAGCCTTTCG